CTCTGGGTGCTCCGGTTTCCCCCACTGTCCAAAAACATGCGCATTAGTTGAATTGAATAAACTAAATTGGCCGTAGTGTATGAGTGTGTGTATAAATGAGTGTGTATGGATGTTTCCCACTACTGGGATTGCTATATAAGGCTATATATAAGCCCATAGGAACAAATTTGCTAGGATTGCCAGCAGGAGAGTAAATATGCAATAACATATTGAAACATAAACATTACTGCTTTTGTTGCATATTTAATTAAATAAATGCAGCATTGGTGAGCAGAAGGTCGTACTTCAAAAGACAAAACTTTTTATTTCCATTTATTGCATGGAACTAAGCATTACCGAACAGTATATAATCTGCGAATGTATATTTAGCTTTAGATTCATTGACCAATGCATGCATGTGTTTGTGTGTGTGTGGTTATTCAATTATTTCATTAATTTTTCTTCGGCTTAGTCGCTCCAGGGGTCACCACAGTGGAATGATCGGTCAACTATTCCAGCATGTTTTTTTTACGCAGAGGATGCCCTTCCAGCTGCAACCCAGTACTGGGAAAGACCCATACACACTCATCAGTACACTACAGCCAATTCTGTTTACCCAGTTCACCTATATCACATATCTTTGGACTGTGGGGGAAATCAGAGCACCCGGAGGAAACCCATGCCAACACAAGGAGAACATGCAAACTCCACACAGAAATGCCAACTGACCCAGCCAGGGCTGAAATCATCTGCCTTCTTGCTGGGAGGCGATATTTCTATCCACTGAGCCACCATGTGTGGTTATTTAAAGATTAAAATTTAACCAGCAGCTGTGAAGGAAAATGTTTTTTTTTTCTTCTTTTTTGACAGCTGGCAGAAAGTAAGAATATAGAGCTATAAAAATCATATCATTTGGTAATGTTAACATATTTGTATCTTGGCAAATTCTAGCACTGAGTCACTGTTGAGACAAAATATGTAAGATAACTATGTTTTTTTTCCAGCACAAAAACTTGTAGCTGTCTAGAGGAACATCTGACATATCAAAGAGCTCTAAATGGGGATGCCTTTTTCCATTACCTAAGAAATAAATCAGTAAACTAAAAGAAAAAAAGCTACAAGCAATTCAATCCCTAGTTTTTGAATCAAAATTTACAATGCCAACACTTTATAATGCAACATAGGCTCAATCTGAAAAGGTAGCCTTATATACATTTCTAGAGATCGCGAATTATATAGCCAGAGCTACATATGGTTGCAATTTGTCTTTAAAACGAACGGTATGGGGCGGTATGACGCTGTTCCTATTCGCGCTTACCAGCTGACCGCTTACCTCAACAGCTTTTATGCTGTTACCACTATGTGCAGTAGCTTGAAGCACAAAAAGCAGAGCAGAGTTGACCTTGACGACTGGGTTCGAGTCCAGCAAAGAACGGTTCCAGAAAGCAGGTAAGACAAAAACAGAAGTAACAGGGTGAGAATGTGGTAAAATCTAAAAACATGGTAAAAATCAGGCTGCGGCAAGGGCTTTTCTTTTTCTGCATTGCTTTTGAAAACACTATCGGTTAGGGTTTAGGGAAGTGGGTGGATGCTGGTCAACCAGTGGTTTTTAAAACACTTTCGGTTGGGTTAAGGGAAGTGGATTCTGTCGAGGTAATCGGTCGAGTGGTCAGTCAGTCTTTGAGGCTTCGTTTACACTAATACATTTCATTTTAAAACGCATACGTTTTGCTTAAGTTACACCTTCCGTCCACACTAACCAGGAGTTTGAAAAATGGAGCCTTGAAAATGGATCATTTTGAAAACGCTTAAAAGGCCAAATTGGTTTTAAAACGCTACTGCTGCGTGTCGGTGTGGATGGGGGAAAACAGACACATCTTAAAATGGAGACATGGCTGCAGACATTCACATCTGACAGGAGCTTTTTCCTGAATATTAAGTGCACAAAGTTCAGTCCTGCATTATTTCCTTGTAAGTTCAAACTTCACAAGTTTGATATGGAAAACAAACTCCAGAGGACACGTCGGGTAAATCTTCAAAGAGAACAGTGTACTTCATAACATCATTCGCATCACCATGCAGGCTAACAATCTGAATATTAAAACGAATAGATGATATAAGGAAATGCCTATTTTCTTATTGACATTTGATATTCACCTTAACAGACACCAAAAATGTTGAGGCATTGTGTAGCTGCAAATTTATATGACCGTCATCTACACTGTATGCATATATATAACAAAACAGAGCCTATGACATAACTGCCTCCTTTCATTTCCATTGAAAAATACGAAATATACCCTGACTCAATAATGGCCATTATAAAAGTATAGAGTACAATAAGTTTATACATTACAGGAAATAAAGGCAAGCAATCAGCCAAATGTGCAGAATCAGTTATATAAAAGTAATATATTAATCTAACTTTGTTTATGATTACTTTGATTACGACTTGCAAACTATATATATATATATTGTAGCGAGCACACTGATGCCACGTCGCCCTGGTCACAAATTCGCCCCAGCTGGAACCTCATCAGCACCGGATCGCTCACAGCTTGACCTCATCAGCCAGGGAGAGATATTGTGTCTCTCTGTCTCTCCCACAGCCCACTCCAGCTCGTGAACGATCCAGCACCAGAACTCTCACCTTCCTTCACCACCTCCCCGGAGCACTCGAGCACGCACCTCAAGAAGAGCACCCTTTAAATCACGTATATCACTTGTAAATAAAGCACCCTCCGGGGACTTGTTTGTAACTCTAGTCAACTGTGTTTGTGTTTTCCCTCTGCCTCGCTACAATATATATATATATATATATATATATATATATATATATATATATATATATATATATATATATATATATATACATATACATATATATATATATATATATATATATGTATATATATATATATATATATATATATATATATAT